CACATACAGCGGGAGCAGGAACCCTGATGATCGGCGTGGCTCACACTGGCTTGAGGATGGATATAGACAATGTGGTTTGGTTTGGTCATGTCTTATTTACCGATAAATTGCAAAAAATACATTAACAGACACTATGATTAAACAACATAAGGGGTTATTTGGCCTGGATTTGCATCTTCACAGGGTTTACAAGATTTCATAGAACAAGGGTACAATAGACAAACTTCAAATTTTCAGAAACGTAGAATCGGCATTTCTCCAAGCAATGTATTCTAAACGCACCTTTGAATTTCAACCATGCAATGGAAATGCATATGAGTATCAGAGCAGCACCTCCTAAAACCGCCAACACAACTTTCACGGCATTGCTCCTTGTCCTTTTACCTGTGGATGCACAGAATGGCACAAAAATAAATTATCATATGTCATATACTGATGCATAGTGAGATAAAAGGGGGAGAGATTTGGTACCAGTTGCTGCATCTAAGCCTGCAAGCCGTAGATAGAGTGTGTCGCTGGCGGTGCTTGCGCCTAGCCTCCCGGTGTCAACCAACTCCCCGACCCACACCAAACACCTTGTCAGGTCTCTGTTTTCAATGCTGCTGCTTAGGTTGGCGTATGCATACGCCATGCAGGAGCAGTTGCGACCACATGCCGCGGCGCACTCCCTCAACGACGTGTTTCCGACGATCGCGAACCTATCCGGTGGCTTCATCCCCGACAATGGCACAAAACCATCGCTGCAACGCAATGCCTCTTTCCGTTGGCACCCTTTCCAGAACTCACCATTGTCCCACTCCTCCGTTCTCGTCGGCTTGAAACCGTCAAAGCACTTGCACGTCGGAATAGGCAACACCGTCTCATCGCAATAGCCATTCGGGCCACAGTAGCCGTAGCGGTTGCATTCGTGGGGTGACCACTGCCCAAAAACTACCCACGTGGAAGAACTACTGTTCCAGCTTTGGAACTGGAGCTTGCCGGAGTAGGTCAGCACGAACCTGGTGTGCCAGGCACCATCAGAGACGGTAAACATCGTGTAGCTCTCCTCATCGTTGTTGACGAAAGCCAGGTTTATGATGATAGCACTGGTTTTTGTCAACAGGTACTCGTCTTCGCTCTTCACCCGGAACCCGGTCCACGGGGTGCTGCGGTACACCGGGCGCGACCCGTCCCAAAGGAACATCTGGATGGACGTGGCCGGATCGCACCCGTAGGAGAAGCTCCCAGGCGAGGGGTCTCCAGCGTCTTTCCAGGACACCAGGCGCTCACCGGCGCGTGTCCTATACCTGATTCGCATCTTCATGCCGGGCAGGAACGTGTCGGTTGGGTGGTCGAAACTCTGCCACAACATGGTGCCGTTGGGTGACCGAATGATGAGGTTACCGGTGTTCAGAAGCACCGCCTCTGTCGAAGAGGAGCTCGAGGCAGCGCCCACATTGGTCATCCAAACAACTTGACCACCATCACTGTCAGAGAGAACAAGATTGGAGGCATTGGTGAGGGTGAGAATCGGTGCAGAGGAGGTACCATTTGTGACTGGGGTTCCCCGGTTGGCAACCCACACCACAGTGAGCTCGGGGATGCTGCTGTACCAGATGCCAAGGTACAGGTTGGACGGCGTCGAGCCGGATGAGAAGAAGAAGCCCAAGGCGAAGTCACCGCCATCCGAGACGACGGTTATGCCAGGGGAGAGCGGCTTGCTGGGGACAAGCCGGTCATCAGACGCACCCAACGGCAGGAGCAGAATGATTAGGACGGCGGCGGAACAGGTGAGAGATGACCAATCCATTCGACGATGTTGCCAGAAGAATTGCAGTGCAGCCGCGGTATATGATTCTGGGAATGTACTTGTACAAGCAACAATAATGCAAAGACTTTGCAAATATAGTAGGCTAGTTCCGAAGTTGACATTTCAGCTGTCTACTTCCATCTTCATTGCTGCCCTGGCCAGAAGAGTTAAACAATTGCTGTTTACTTTGAACTTTCTTTTTTTCATCTTGTCACAAGTTGGGAAAGAGCAAGTCAATGGCATGAAACTTCGAGGTGGAAATACCGTACCTTAAAAATCATATCCTCCAGGGAGTGGATGTCACATCCAGCTCCTCGGCTGGAGAAGGCTCAACAAGAGGATTTCTGAGATTTCAGTTTGCGACGAGACAATATGATCTGACAGGAAACAACACTGCGCCTAGACAATACGATCCGACAGGAAACAACATGCTACCAGTATGGGTTCCTTGGCTGACAACAAATTGGTGTGAAATGTCCAGACATAAACAGGTTTCTTCATGTATTACAGGCCACGTTTAATTCATCAGTATAGATGTTCCCACTGGTGCTTCTTCTTCCATTTGTACTATATTTCCTATTCCTATTCCTACTCCTATCCCTTTATTCCTATTTTTTTTTATCTATCTGCATTTAAGGAAATCCATGCGTCCCCATATGGTAACTATCCAACTAAAGATTTTGATTCCAGTGGGCACAGCTATGATCATGTCATAGCCACACATTATGAAACTTCTCCCGTCATTGCCGATTCAATGAGAGGACTTCTGAGATTTCAGTAGACATTTCCCATATCTGACTCCAGGGATGCGAATGGGAACCAGGAGATTTTCCAAACTGGATTTGGGGGTTAAACAATTAGAGTCAATCCCATGGAACCCAATTCGAGAAAGCCTTAACTAAATCCTTGTTATTAGAATGATGATCTCTTGGCTATGACCAACTCATATATTAATTGAAATGGTCGAAATTCAGTTGATATGTACATGGGTGTCACATCTGCAAGACTAATTCTTTCTGCACCAACTTAGGACTTGGGAGGAAAAAAAACATAAGTAGCTTAGGAAGAACTTCGCCTCACTGGATCCTTGCTCTCAACTTCGATAATGAACTGGATCATCGTGCCACATCTCCAAAGTAAGCAGTAATTCCTTTGAATCTGTGCTGTACGTAGCTCTCTTCACTCTATAGAAAACTTGAATATTAAGGTCTCGTCCTAGGATGATAGTTGTAAAATGCTCGGAGTCATGAGAAATGCGACCAAAAGGAGAGAAGAACAGTATCGTACCTCAAAATCTAGGGGAGGAGAAGACAACCACGAAAGTTCCTCTACTTGGCTTATGTCCACATTCCGTGGCAAGAACATGATGATATTAGGAGCTATTTTCTGAGCAGCTTGAAATATTGCATGCCTGCGTGCAAAACCATATATCAATAATACAATTGTTTTACTGTATCGGAGTTAATTTTGTTCATTCTGATTTTGTATGAATGTAACAATAAGGGGATGTTTGGATGAGGGGTATGTTTCTTCAGGAGCTCTGGTATTTAGTTTAGATAACTAAATATGAAAACTCTACAGAAATATCCCTCATCCAACACCCCTAAGTGCCACAAATGTACAAGAGTAATAATTCACCAGTCCAGTTTCACTTGGAATGTGCAAGCTTCCATGAATAACAGCTACAAGGCTACAATTGTAGGCCAACGACTGCAAAGCACTCAATCAGTATGCTCGCTTCCAAGAAGCATAAACTGTTTCAAACCTGTCTGTTTTTTATTCTACTTCACCTAGTGTAAGGACAATTTGGAAGATGGTGAGCGGCATACCCGTCCTTTGGCTTCAGCATATCGAGGGTGTACACTGGTGTTTGATTATATGATGGCCCTCCCCATGGTGGTGAAAGGAACACCAAATCTGCCTGGTATAGTAGCAGCAATCAGCAAACCATATCATTAAATGGCTACTCAACAATATGAAAATTGTAACTGTCACTCAATCTCACTAGTTCATCTTGGATGGTGTAGTTATCCCTCATGATGTTTGATGCCAATCTCATCATACTAAAGAGGATAGTATCATTTTGAAAATAGACTTGAAGAAAGCAATTGACAAGTTGAATTCAGAGTACCTTGAGCAGTGTTGCTTGCTACAGGCGTTCAACTAAAATGGGTTGATAGGATAATGGTGAAAACGAAGGGCCAGGTCAATATTGTACTGTATGGTGAACAATATTGTATAACGAAGGGGCAGGATAGTTGATGCAGGTAGAATCCTGGTGCGACTGACAGCTTAATTTTGCAGAAAGATTGATAAATTTAACAGTTACAGACAGATTTGTGAAATTCATGGTAACTGAGCATGCTTCATAGTTGGAAGCATACACTAGTTTGGCTGGTTTCATATCATTTCAGGATTTCCCTCAATAGGCAAGATCAAGGTATGTCCAGTTATCAAAAGTTAACTAACCTACTAAATGTGGTCTTGTTCATCGTAAAACTGAACGAGCATATACTACCTTCAAGTAAGGCGCAAGGTGGAAGAAATCGCCGACGACAAAGTCGATCATATGCTCCACGCCGTAGATCCTGGCGTTGTGCCTCGCCAGCTCTACCTTATGGGGATCGATCTCCACCGCGACAACGTAGCAGCCCCTGCACGAGAACGAAACGCCGTTGTTAGCGGGGGGAATCAGTGTCCTGGAAACGAGAAGGGGTCGGCCAGCGGCGCGTGCCTGGCGGCGAACTGGATGGAATTGCCGCCGACCCCGGCGAAGGCGTCGAGGATGAGGCCGGCGGGCGCGGCGCGGGCGGCCTGCGCGGCGGCGATGGCCTCCGGGGTGGCGGAGTACCAGCCCTCGGCGTCCATCCGCACGCCGCGGTCGTACAGGGAGAAGAGGCTGTGGCGGTGGGCCCAGTACTTGCCCGCGACGGCCTCCGCGGCGGCATCAGCGGCGTGCTCCTCCTCCTCCTCCTCCGGGCGCTTCGCCTCCTGCGGCGTCTCGGCCTCGCGGGGCGGCGGCGACGGAGGGGCTGGGGGTCGGGTGGCGCATTGCCGCCTGTCGGAGGCCGGGAGCGGCGGCGGCGAGGACGGGGAGACTGCGGCGAGGCCCCTGCGGCGGCGGCGGGTGATTTTTCGGATGGTGGCGAGCAGGCGGAGGAAGCGGTGGGGCCCGTTCGGGAGGGGCCTCACGGCGTTGGCTCGCCGGCGAGCTGGTACCCTCGGCGTGGCACTCGCCTTTGCCATCTCTCCGTTGGTCTTCTCGCGTGCTTGGCAGGTTAGGATCGCTCTTCCGACGGAACTCATTCAGCTGTTTCGCACGAACGGGATGAAGTAAACACACGAAATACAGACCGACAGTATCAAAGCAAGGCGGATGAACTTCCCACACTGTTAAGTACTACTGCTTCTGTAACTTAGGCGTTTCTTCAGTTTTTATTTACACTATTATCGACACCATCACTGTTAATTACTGTTCTAGTATAATATCCTGCTTTTCAACTGCAACCTTATGACAGCATCACTATGAACTACTTACTCCGTTCCAAAATATCAGAAGTTCCAGGTTTATCCTAAAGTAAGATCAAGAATTTATAGAAAAATGTATTACTACATCGACCATATACAGTACATGTTTTAGACGTTGATATATTTTTCTATAATCTGTATCAAACTGAAAGACGTTTTGAACAAACCTAGAGCTTTCAAGTATTATGAATCGGAGGGAGCAGCTTTCAACTTTCAGCCCTAACTACGTGGTTGTCAGCCATACTGTAGATTCTTATGGAGAAACATTGCACTGTTTAGCAAACACACACAAACAATTTTAATGTTATAGTCATGTTACAATTGACAGTAATCGCTCAAATGAGAGTGCAACAACAACATTACAGCACGGTCCCACACAAGTTCCACAAAAAGGACAGACCCAGTGCATAGAAGCTTCCACACAAGGTGGGGTCTGGGGAGGGATTATAGGAACCTAGTCTTACCCCTGCAAAGTGCAATGCAGAGAGGCTGGTTCGAACCCAGGACCTCTTGGCACAAGTGGGGAGGACTTCACCACTACGCCAGGCCTGCCCTCTACACAAGTTCCACAAATGTGGCGAAAATCGGGAAATACAAGTTTTTTCACATCTTACAACTCCGACACACAACTGAGACTTTCTTTTTTTTTTTCCCCTGAGATGGAAACTAAGATGCATCTGATGCAACATATGGCTGAGTTCTTGGTTTACACGGCGACCGATATGCAATTGGTGCGGCGATCAGCTCCAGAGAACAATGGTGTTTTTCGTTCCTGTTTTCTAAGTTTCTGCGGAAGATACAAAGAGCTTCTTAGTTCCGCAAGATAATGCTCGTCACTGGAAACAAGATGGCCACAACCACAAACTTCAGTATAAGGTGAGAAACAGAGGGAGTGAACTTACTATACATGTAGACAGGGCTGTTGCTCCCCAAGAGAAGCAGGAATGCAATGCAGAGTGCTGGGAAATTTGACCACTGCGGTATAAGATTTAGAGGTACTTGGACAGCCAAGGAAGATCTGGGGACTCCTTGAGGGCAAAGGTCACATCGTCGCTGCCAAACAACAAAAAGAAAGGTATATGAGAAAGGAGGCTTAACAAGACAATAATAGCTTCTAACTGTCCTGTGAATCAAGGGTTTCGGTTCAGATGGGTAAAAGCATCCTTATCCTTGTTTGATGGAAATTGGGTATCAAATTTTATCTGTGAATCAAAATTTTAACTAATCCCAAAACTACAGAACCTACTTCATTTCTTCATATATCTGGCCGGTGGCCACAGCTTATGCATTGGGCTCTTGGCCCATCCGTGTAGCAAACTCATACTTGTTAAAACTGAAATAGCGGCCATGGATGGATGTTGATCTTCAGACTGTTCTGTAATTCCTGTTTGATAGGGCAATGTAGTTTTGCAAGCTAACCTTGGGTAGTTGAGCTGCAGCTTCTGCAACTTATGCTTGGTGCCCTCCTCGCAGAGAACGATCTTGCTCTCACCAAGCTTGCAACTGTAAGAGAAACTTAGAACAATTGTTTAAAACAGCATATTGCATAGATAATAGAGAATGAAGCATTCAGAGCTAAGGGTTTTGCCTTTTTCAAAGTGTAGATGGACCATAGGTGGGAAAATAATGACTGATGGAATGTATGCAGATAACAGAGCTACGGTTGGGTAGTCTAATCCTACCATAGGATCAGACTAGCATGGAAACATAATAAATAATTATGGCAACATTAGTTTCCTACCGATGCAACCTAAAAAGTATGTGATGAAAGCATTATTTATGAAAGCATTATTTTCTGAGTAGTTTCCATGTAACAAATTCTGTGCAAATAACCTTTTTGTGTGGTGGAAATGAGTCCTACAACAAGCAACATCTCATGGAATCATGGCATGACTTCTCATGGAACAAGAAAATGACAACGAACTACATTTGTAACAGTGCACCTAAAAGCAAAGGTAACAGCAGCACTATCCATGTCATACATGATGGCACGTGCACATGAACTCGAGGTAACCGTATGTAAAAGCAACCTTAGCAGTTTCATGCAATGTGAATACCAAATGCAGATTAAATCAGAATAACTTACCAGATTTTCAGGAGAGTATCGTATCCAGGCAATAGTTCTCTGTTGACGTGGCACCAAGAGAAAACAGTCGTTGCCAGCTACAGGATAAAAAGAGCAAGATTGTTAACAGATGGACAGTAATTCAGTACCAAATGGACAGTAATGCCTAATACGGTGAAGGAACGCTCACACAATGAAACTTCTGTAGCAAGCATGAGACAAAAAAATTAAAGCCTCTAATTCAGATGGAAACTCAACCAGAGAAGAGACTGGAAAGAACTATTGGTTATATGGAGGAATAATTTAATGAGAGAATGAATGACAACTGAGTAATTACTCGCATGTTTTTCCGTTGCAGACCAATATACTGATCCAGAAAATAACCAGAACTTGGAAGTCATCAAAACAACACAAATTTACTGCATTCATGAAAGATAGAGCTAAGGCAAGCCAGTATCCTCATTTGAATACAGGTATAGTAGAGCAAACCAAGGTGAAATTTGAGGCCTAGATCGATTAGAATATTGTAAACCACATAATGGTAACAGTTCCAACTTAAGGTTGTGGCAGCTAGCAGACACAAATTCGGGGAAAACTTAGTGGTAAACAAGCTGAGTTGCCTAAAATAGGTCCACAAGGGACTCCGAATAATTTTTTATGCAGCGGATTAGGTTGGCTAAATTCATCAGAAAATTCAACCTAAGAAAAAGAGTGGATCAAAGAAAAGCAGTTATAACGGTAAATTTTCTGCATGACTGCAATGCTAAAGACAAACACACGAATTAAAAAAAGTTGTGCTCACCTTATCAAACAATACTTCACCTAGGCCACTTCTGTATAATTCGTGGACCATAGCAGCCAGTATAACTTTTCCAAATTTTGGGCAATTCTTCATTACCTGTATAAGTGAGGAGAAGTTGGTAATGTTGGACGCGGCTAGTATTACTATTTGATCTGATTAAGGAAGTCAAGTACATGTGGTTACCGTAACTGAGCAAACTGTATACTACATAGCAAAGCTAACACAAAGTATGAGTTCAGATAGGAAGCAATCATTATCTCCACTTACTTGAATATGTGGTGCCTGAAAGACTTCTTGAATAGCGTCTTCTATGTCACCCATGCAAACAAAACCATTTCCTACAAGTATTGGACAAATGTTCAGTGGGCTATATATAGTTAGGAGCTTAGCATAAACCCCAAGTACCCTTTAATGTTCAGTGGGCTATATTAGTTACTCCCTCCATTCCAAAATAGATGACCCAACTTTGTACTAAGGTCATCTATTGTACAAAGTTGGGTCATCTATTTTGGAACGGAGGGAGTAGGAGCTTAGCATAAACCCCAAGTGCCCTTTAATGAATAGGTTATTTACAATTGTACTACAAATGTGGAGGGTTACCTGTATTTGCAGAAGAGGGAGTCTGTTCAACCTGTTGAAATTGTTTAACACGGTAGTCTGCGAACTCTGCTGCGCGTCTACAAATTTCTAAGGCCCGCCTAGCATCACCGGACATAGCAGCTACCTGCGGGAAAAAGCAATCTACTCAGATGAATGAACATGCATGTTAACAGAACACTTGGATGGTTTGACCTTCTTATTTCACAGGACAGAAAAGCTAATTAGTTGGGAGATATGGATAAACAATTGTTTATTTTAATTTAATCTTTTTGCTCCAAAAAATTAAACTCTTTCCTTGTGCTATGGAGTGATGAAACTCAATGGTACAAGCAAATGTCATGCTGAATGCAGTAGCAATTGACAACTAATACTCAATGGCATCACACTGCATTGCTGGAACTCTGTTTATTCCACTGACTCCCAGCTGTGTTGAACAGATTATGAGATGTTTCGTATCAAACTACTCAAGAAGGGGAGAGTGCACAAGTGATCAAAGCATGATTCACTCTACTGGTTCATGGGACTCTGTCTTACTTAAAACAACATGAAGGGTCTGCACGCAGGTAGGAGAAACTAACCTTTAAGTGAAGGACCTAGTGTTTAAATAGTTTCTAGCATAACTCAGATTAGATGAGAGAAGAACAATCATGGACAAGAAGATACAAGTATATAACAGTAAATGTGTACACATGATACTGTGAACCAAAGTTCCAAACCTTTCTAGAAGCAAACTCAATAGCTTGATCTTCAAAGGCATTGATACCCTTAAGACGGCTTGTTATGATTTCCTGCAGTTGCCGATAATTATAGGGGCCAAAACACAGCCGTTGAATACCCATCCTACTTGAGATACGAGGCAACAGTTTTTCTGGAAGATCCATTGTGTTCGCTATACCTGCATTCAGTAACAACACACCAAAGAATAAATAATAGGCTAGAGATCAAAATCACAAATCAAGAAAGAGTTATAGGTACCTATAATAACTAGGTTTGAATTTGGCTTGGTGGGCCAATCAAGAATGTTATACAGCACCTGTTAGAAAGATTAATCCAAATGTCAATGAACATGAATATATATCATACAGCAATCAGAAGGCCACATGATGGCAATGTTGGGCATTTTCTCAAAAATAAACTATAAATTTGTACAAATATTTAATTAACTTCAGTTAGATTAATTACCGACTGATTTCTTGTCAAAAGGAGATCAAGCTCGTCGATGAGCAAAACAATTGGCTGGTTTGCTTGCTTTCCAATTTTCTTGCCATCTGAGAAGTGCTCTGTTAAATAATGAAGAGCTTTTTTCCATCCCACCCTATGCCCACTCAATTGTTCATATATAACCTGCATATTCAATGAAGTGGACCTGTTATAAGTCTATGTTGACTGATAAGGGAATGTATATGCTATGCTTGAGTATGAATTTGCCATTTCTTAACCAACTTAGAAGTTTGTATACCTTGTAGATATTCTCTGGAGAAGCTAATTTGAGACCATTGATTTCTATAAAACAATAGGGCCTCAGAGCTCCAGAATCAAATTCAGATCTCAACCTCCTCATGACTGCAAGTACACTCATAGTCTGCCAGTCAACAAAAGCAAGTGCAGAAAATGCAGTTTAGTATTCAGCCACAGCAGAAGAAATCAATCCACCACGACGGCCATGAAATACGGTCGGTTACCTTGCCAGTACCAGGCACACCATGAATATAAAGGCAGCGTCCTAGACAATGGTCATTGCAAATTGCATCCTTCACAAATGTAGAGATCTCCTCCATTTCTCTGGCACAAGACTTCTACTCAGTAACAGTTTGCATAAGAAGCTGATGAAACATGCAACAAACATGAATAGACATACTTATCCCTGCAAGGCAATGACTTGGGAAGAGTAGCCAATAACAGGGTAGCCTTCGCCTTCTCCAGAGCAGTCTTTTGATGACACCGAACATGCTCAGGTATTTTTCGGATCCCAATCTTTTGCAGGCCATATATCCTCCCTTTCCATGAATTCTACAAACAAACAGGCATTTCAGTAAAGCGATGCAAAATTATAGAGGGAAAGGGAGGTAGTGTTAGTACAGCAGGCAAAATTTTCTCATTAGATTGGTTCTTTCTGGCTGAGCAACGTGTAGCCGGTTCATCCTCCTCGTCGTATTCTGAATCTTCATCGGTATCACTGTTATAATCATTAGCAGCATTGTAAGGCTCGTCACTGGGATCTTCTTTTGTCTACATAATAGAGCAAGGACAAGATTATTCACTATACCACAATGATGATTCAGATTTCTATGAAGAGAGCTTCACAGCTTTGATTGAAGTTTCAGAAGATGTACCTCAGGTTCATCATCAATATCTGCCAGACGCTTAAAATTATGCCAATGTACATCATACTCGTATTCGCAATAAAATACATCATCTCCGTCATTAGTGGCATCCCTATACTCTTTGGGGCTCATGACAAAACAATGTCTAACGATACTTTCCATCTGTTAAAAAAGCCACATGAAGAAAGCAAGTACAATCAATAAACATGGAAAATTTTGAGGAACCAAACATAGACAGGGAAAACACTAATCACCTCAATGTCTCCAAGAGCATTGGTACGATAGAGCTCTCTCCGCAAATTGTGTGGCTGCCTTCCTGCTGCGGTCTCTTCAGGAATAGTGTACCACCTCACCTTTGCCCAGAATGCTCCATCTGGCTCCCTCCGTAAACTGTTACATGTTATTGCTATTCAGTAAGTATCATTCTAACAACAAGCATGTCTGAAAGCATTTTGCCGCCTTCTTCTACCATCCCAAACCATCATTATAGATCGAACTCTTGTTTTGTTGGAAGGAGGGATCAGACCCATAACAAAACAATGTCTTGCACCTAACTCGAATAAAAACTCCACAACTAAAGTTAAGTTTATGCACCATCGCCTAGCACTTGGAAGGGATGTTCTACAGTTCCTATTCTCAGCAAATATATCATCCAGACACACTATTCCACATCCATTTCTCAGAAAACACATCAGTAGACACCAGACCGTCGCTACAGCAAACTGCCAACACGCTTCCAATTTGCAAACTTTGAAAAAACTAATCGAGCAGCACTGACCTCTCAATGTGTGCAGCCCATAAATCGCTGTCGAGAAGCTTCTCCTTGGCAGTCCTCTTGATCTTCTTCCCGACGGGCGGCTTGGGCCTGTCCATCGCCCTCCCCTCACGCTCGGCCTCGCAGTAGGGGCACGCCCAGTCCCCCTCCGGCACGCGGCGCAGCGGCGGGCGCACGCAGCGCAGGTGGAAGCCGCCGAGGCAGGCGTCGCACTCCACCATGACCCCGCCGCCGGCGCGGAAGCAGACGCGGCAATCCTCCGGCTCCTCCGGGTCATCGGCGTCCGACTCGGCCCCCTCCAGCCGCTTGACGTACACGTCGTCCCCGGCGGCGAACTCCTCGCCGTCGTACACCACCTTGCGGTAGAAGGCCCGCTTCGCCGGTGGCCGCCGCTGCCGCTTGGGCTTGGGCTCGGACCGGGCCGGGGTCTTGGGCGACGGCGACGGCGAGGCCCGCTTCCGCTTGAGGGTGGGCTTGGGCTTGGGCTTGGCGGGCGTCTCGAAGAGGGCGGCCTCCGAGAGGTCCTTGGTGGGGGTGTCGAGGAGGCGGCGCGACCTGCGGACGGCGGAGGGCGTCGCCGGAGACGCGGGCGGCGCGTAGGGCACGGGCTTGGACTTGCGCCTGGGCGTGGGCGTGGGCGCCGGCTTGGACGGGGTGGAGAAGTCCATCTGGGCGGCGGCGGCGGCGACCTTGGACGGGGAGGGTCCGGGCTTGGATTTGGA